GTGCTTAATATTAATTATTACAGGCAGTACAACATTTAGTGTATATCTAAACTTTATTGAGTAAGTAAGTAGGCATTACAGATAGATTGCAAGTTATTCTTGGTTCTGCTTATAGACAGGTGTTTATTTCAAGGTGAAATGAGAACACAAATCCACAGATCTACTGCTACTGAAATACTTTTTCAGGGTGGCTTGATATGGACACAATCTCCCTCAATACCCATTCAAAGCAGCCTTTACTTCCACCTCTCCCTTCAGCTGAGGGATTCACAATATCTAAAATATGCTTGTAAAGAATCCTTCTGTATCAGAGGTAGTTTTGTGCCTGCATTATGAATCATAGAAGACATTTGGTCAAAGACTTTATAAAAGGGGCAGAAGAGATACAGCAAAGCACAGAGTTAGTATCAATTATTTTTCTTTTCAAGCTTATTGGCCACAGTGACAAAAGTATCAACCAAAATTGAGAATAACTGTTCATCCATTTAACAACAAAGCATGCAACAGCCTGTGCAAACAATAGCTTTTAAAGACAATCTTAAATTTGGCTTGAGCACCAAGGATGCATTTTATAAAGCAAAAAAGTACATTTATGTGCAATGACTAAAGTGTAGTGTGGCCTGAATGGTGGCCCTTCACTCCAAAAGATATGAAAATGTCCTAATCCCCAGAATCTATGATATTATCTTAGTTGGAAAAAAGGGTCTTTGCTGATATGATTAAGCTAAGAATCTTGAATAAGAAGGTTATCAAGAATAATCTAGATGAATCCTAAATGCCATGACAAGTGTCTTTATAAGAGAGAGGCAGAGGTAGTAGATTATATACACAGAGGAGAAGGTGATATGAAGACAGAGCAGAAATAGATGCAGCCACAAGCCAAGGAATCATAACAGCCACAAGAAACTGGAAGACACAAGGAACAGATTTCTCCTAGAGCCTCCAGAAGGAGTGCAGACCTGTTAGCACTTTGATTTTGGACTTCTGGCCTCCAAGAGACTAAATTTCTATTTTTTTAAGCCACCATGTTTGGAGTGATTTGTTACAGCACCCACAGGAATCTAATACATATTTAGGTAAGGGGAAATGGGATACTGCTGTAACACCTACCTAAAACCATGAAAGTGATTTTGAAATTGGACAATGGGTAAAGGCTGGAAGAATTTTGATGTGTATGATTAAAAAAGCATGGATTGCCTTAAACAGACTCTTGGTAGGAATATGAATGTTAAAGGCATTTCTGGTGACAGCTTAAAAGGAAATTAGAAACATTTTATTAGGAACTGAAAGAAAGGCAATCCTTACTAGACAGTAGCAAAAAGCTTATTTAGATTGTCTCCAGTTTTGTGGAAAGTAGAATTTGTAAGGATGAACTTAGATATTTGGCAGAGGAGAATTTAGCAAAGTATTATATGTATGGCCTACTTTCTTTGTGATGCTTATACTAAAATAAGAGAGGAAAGAGATAAACTGAGGGAAGAACAATGAACTAGCACTTGATGACTTTGAAAATTCTAAGTCTATTTAGATTGTAAAAGTTGCTTAAAATTCTGAGATTCACTGCTAGAAAAGTGTGCTCTAGGGATAAGGCCAATGGTGTGACTACATAACCTTTGGCTGGTGCTAAAAAGATTAGGCATTGGCTCATGGATTCACTCAATCATCTCAGCAGAAGCCAGTAACAGAGATGGGTTACCCAGGAAATATTTGAGGATCCTCTTTTGTAAAGGTTTAAATCAATATGACATATATGAGAGTCCCACAAGTGTTTTGAGAATGTTCTATCAACAGAAATACTTCTGTCTTGGCCCGATAGGTACTAAGATAAGACAAAATGAGAATAACTTGTCATATTACCAAAATTCTAAAGGAAGGAAATAGGGTGATAAAACTACTAAGCTGCTGGGCCAGCTGGTGGTATAATGGTTAAGGCAGCTGGATTTTACATGGCTGACCTTATGGTTCGAGTCCCTAACCTCGTAGCTTGAAAAATATGCCTGGTATGTGTGCATGCGTGCCCCAAATCCCAAAGAATGGATGGATTGTGGTATGGCTATCTCCTCCACCTGTTGGAGGTCGTGGGTGATTTCTCAGTTTTCCTCTCCCTCTCTGGTGAGTGCACATGCCCTATGATAAAAACAAGAACACAAAAGCACACTACTTAGCTACAAACATGAGCTACCTTTTAAGGTGAAGGACCACCCATAGGGCAGAGCTGTGGTTCAGAGGCAGAGGTCCAAACATGGATAAAGGCAGAACACAGAGTCAGAGGCCCAATCCATGATCCAAGAGGAAAGACCATCTGGCCCAAAGGGTAGAGTTCTAAGACACAAGATTATTGCAAGGCCTTAAAACCTAAGGGGAATTTGTCAAGATTTTGAAAATGATTGGGACAAGTGGCTTCTTTCCACTTTTTATTTTGTCCTTTCAGAATATGAATGCCTGTATTTGCTACTCTATCCCTGTCCCACTGTTGTATTTTAGAAGCAGATAACTTTTTTTCTGTTTCACTGGCTCTCAGAAAGAAATTTTGTACCAGGATAAACCATATACAATGATCTAGATGTAGATGATCTATATGATGAGATTTGGGACTTATGAACTGATAAAATTTAGATTTTGGACTTAAAGTTGATGCTGTAATAGCTTGAGACTTTGGGAAATGATGGGATAAGGTGAATGTATTTTACACATAAAATAGATGAATTTGGGGGGTGGGTAAAGACTGTGGTGGGCTGAGAATGGCTTCCAAATATTTATATCTATATTCTAATCCCTAGACTCCATGAATGTTAACATATAAAAAAAAAAAGGAGGGGAGGTCTTGTAGATGTACTTAAATTAAGGATCTTCTAAATGGGAGATTATACTGAATTAATTTGAGTGGTCCCGAAATGCCATTGTAATCACCCTTGTAAGAGAGATGCAGTGGAAGATTGACAAGATGATGGAAACATAAGAGTAAGAGCAAATGATATGATGGAATAATGGATGTAAAAAGTGAAAGTCCTTTCAAAAGTACAAAGCACAGGATCAGCAGTTAGCGTAATGGCTATGTCACTGGACTCCCACGTAGTTGACCGTGGGTCACATCATGGACCTGGTGGCTTAAAACTCACGCCAGGTGTGTGTGCGTGCGTGCTCAAGATCCCGAGAGGACAACGGAGGAGAAGGGATTGCGGTGTGGCCATCCCCCCTGAGGGGGGTGATTTCTCGCTTTCTGTCTCTATGTCTCTCTCTCTCTGTCTGTCTGGCGAGCGCACGCGCTCTATAGCAAAAACTTCTCAAAAATAAAAAAGTACAAAGCACTACACAATATAAAGTCAAAGCAAGTCAGCTTTTTATGAACTGATGAAATTTAGATTTTGGACTTAGAGTTGATGCTGTAGGAGATTGAGACTTTTAGAAATGATAGGATCAATGGGGTGAATGTATTTTACACATAAGAAAGACAAATTATTTGGTGGTGGGGGGGTAAAGATTATGGTAGGGTGAGAGTGAAAGAGGAGAAGGTGATAGGAAGACTGTGGAGAGAGATGTGCTCAGGACCAGTCCATAGCCTGGTGGTTAAGGCAGCTACATCCCACATAGCTGACAGTATGGTTAAAGTCCTAGACCCAGTGGCTTGAGAAAACATGCCAGGCACATGTGTGTATGTGTACTCAAAAATTCTGAAAGGAGGAAGAGACAGAGGAGAAGGTATTGCAGCATGACCATGATCCATGGGAGGTACTTCTTTGCTTTCCCTCTCTCTATCTCTGTCTCCCTCTGGTGAGTGCATGCGTCCTCTGGCAAATTAAAAAAAAAAAAAAGAAAAGAAAAGAAGAGAGACACAGAGACATGTGGCCATAAACCAAGGTATGCCAAAGCTACCAGAGGCTGAAAGAGGCAAGGAAGAATTATCTTCTTTGAAGAGAAGAGTCTGGAGGGAACATGACCCTGCTGATACTTTGAGTTCTAATTTCTGGCCTCCAGAACTATGAGAGAATTAATTTATGTTGTGTTAGGCCACCATGTTTGTAGTAATTTATTACAGCAACCAAATGAAGCTAATACAATTAGTTAACATTTTGAAGGTTTTACATGTCTTTTTAACATTATAAAGAAAATCTTCATAAATGGTGCTTCTCATATGTGGCAATAATAAACCCAAGAAAAGATTTCAGTATAATTTGGGTCTTCACTAAATATACCACTATGTACTTTTTTTGTGTGATACTTTCAGTCTAAACAAAACTGCAAATGTCTAGAGCAGGACCATTGTAACTCTGGGAAATAAACTCTTTAACCTAATTATTGGAATTACATGAAAGACCCTGAAAGATTTTTCGATGTTTATGAAAAGCAAGTGGGATTGTTCTAAGTAAAAACATATAATTTATCAATAATAATACTTCATTGTTGTTCACAAACTAGAAAATAAGGCAAGTTCACATCTGGAAAAGGTGATACACATCAGTATTTCTACCTTGACCAGCTTGATAATATGGTATGGCAAATGCCCCCAAATGTTAGTCAGCATTAATAGTTCTAAATCATTTTCCTATAGCCTGCAAAGCTATCAAAAGACTCAAAGAAGCCATGCCATGAGTATTTCAGAAAAGACTTTGTAAATTCAAAAATACACACATTAGGTATTTACATTAATTAGAACCTAAACTTTTGTTGTTAAAAAATAGTGTGTGAAATTGCTAGGTCCCTTAAACACGCGTGTGTAAGTGTGTGTGTTCAGATAAGATAAAACTGTAAAATCTTAGATACTATTACTCTTTCTGATTTCTCTATTATAGCAGCTTCAGAGCTTCTTGAAGTGTAACACCCAAGTAAGAATGCACTGGAGGAAAAGGCAGCAGTTTGAATCATTATATCAATACATCTATATAAAGGAATCTGTTAGCTATTGGTCATTGTTTACATTATCTCGGATGGTGACTTGCCAAACCAGTCATTTCTTCTTTTCTCTGAATGTCTATCATGTGCTTTGGAAAAGTAGAAAAGGATTTTCTACTGAGAAATATACATATAAGAAATCTTTTATAATAATCACAATCATCTGCATGAATTAGTCTTAAAATCACACTCTAGAGAAGTTATACCCCATTATTTTAGTGCATATTTTAAAATAATAGACAAGTTAAGTGTAACTTCTGCTCCCTCATCTATTTAAAAAATGTAGAGCCTGTTTTTCTACCTAGAGTTGTTTTGGCAGCATCATTTTAATTTGTTAATATAAGATAAGTATGATGATGATTGAGAAGTTCACTTAGTTACTGGAATATGGAAATTACTGTAGCAAGAGATAAATATATACACATATATATATACATACATACAAAGAACTTCTTTTTCTTCAGACTCTCAAAGTAGAATTGGAAAGGGGGAGTAGAAAGGGAGATAAAACAATTGACCTTTCAGACAGTTTTCTGCTGCCTCCCACAGAACAAAATTTTTTTCTTCTCAGGCCTTCTAGAACTCTTTTCTCTACCTTCAAAGGGGGTCAAGGGAGAAAGAAGCAATAGGGAGAAGAAATAAACCAAAAAGCATAAGAAGCAATGTGTGCCTTTAAAATCTAAATAAAGGTAGCGGAATTTTCAGGTCTATCCCTAGCCTAGACATTAAAAAGCAAGGTTTTCCTCAAAAATAGCCATATAAAGTATTTGTATAAAGTAGATATCTGTGCATCATTAGAAAATACCTCTTTAAATAACATTTAAATCACTTTCTCTAACTGATTCTATTCAACTTTGGTTTATTTTTAGCAATGATAAGTGCCTGCAATATCATGCTGAAACACTAGACTAGTGGTAAGTATAATTTCAGCCAGACCAGATGAATCCCTCAGCTTTCAGTTGAAATAAGGTTCTAAATAACTTGACTAGGACAGAGCAGCACTTTTTTAGATGTCCAAAATGGCTTCTTTTACAGTGTATGCAATATTAGTGATTTCTCACATCATTTACATGCACATTGTGTTTGGCCTTTTATCTTTCTACTCTAACAGGAATTGGAAGCAAAAGCAGATGTTAAATAAATCTACCTTTCTATTCTTTTTCTTCAATTCCTTTTTTGGTGGGGGAATGATGTATTAATTTAAGATTTAAAATTTTTGATGGACTGAGTGTTTTTGAAAGCTTTAGAACACTTCGATTTCTCACACTTTCATCATCATAGTCAGGTCACATACAATTAACAAAGAATACATATCTTTACACTAAAATGGAACACATGTTTTATAAGCCTGATAACTGTGTTCAGATTAGGATAATTGTGGGAGGTATCTTGCAATAGATATACAAATGAACACTACTTCATTAGGATTAGCTTGATCTTTGCAGAAATGCACTTATTTCTGTTCCATCCCTTGAGTGCAGGTTTTGTTCTTCTCAAAAGGTATGATTTTGTTTACTTAAATATTTTCATATTCTTTGGCATCAGGAATCACTTGGATGAGATAGCTCCATTGTGGCGAGAGCGTGACCTTTCCAAAGGTACTCGTCTGTTATCTGTAAGACAAAGAGAAAAAGAACCAAAAACATGGTGAGCTTTTCATGTTGGCTATTACAAGATGTCAGGTCGAGAGAGGTTTTCAAATAGTCCTGAAAATCACTTCAAATGAATATGTAAATAAGTAACAAGGAGCCCAGATCTGAGGCGTTCACTCTGCAGCTGCCAGGCTGAGTTCAAGAGTTCTGCAATCAGCAATAAATGACTTTTCTTGGTAAGTGAAGTCAGAGTGATAAAAGAAATGGAAGATTTCTCTCAAGCACAGTCCCCTTGGAAATAGCAGGCAACAACAAAATTCCTTGGTAAAGATGTTAAATTGAAAGGATCTATGTACAGTGCCTTTTGTTGGAAAGCACTTCAATTCCCCATGAGTTTTCAATCTGTATGTTGGCTACCTCTAGAGGACACCAGCGTGGGCAGAGCAGAAAATAGTTTTTATTTTTTACAATGATTGCAATATGTGACATTTAAACCAACTCCCAAGTTTGCCTGATTATGTGATGTAAACAAATTCAATACATTATATAGTCATTACAGGAATGAATAATGAATGGGACCTATCCGAGATCCCATTGCCACATACAGGAAGAATAATCACTATAGAGATAAGAGTTGGCACAAAGCTTGGAAAGCAAAGTTTAAAAAGCATCGGAAGTTGCTGAAAATAGTTTTAGCTTTAATAGGAAAAAGGTTTACAGTTCTGCATTGTGATGATCACTACTATGTTATTATCACCTCTGTTTTATGCGCAGCTTAAATGCAATTGATGTGGGTGAAAATCCCTTTCTGACAAAAGCATAATATACTTAGATTCTCTATTGAGAATGAGACTAGGCCCCTAGAAATAATGACAACCACCAGCACTTACATAAATGCTAACACTTTACACTCGTTAATTTGCTAATTCACACAACATCCCCGGGAGGTAACCCATTTCATTCTATCCTATTATCTCTGCTTTAGTGATGAAGGTTACACAGCAAATCAATGGTATGATGGGGGATTATAATGCAAAGTTAATGCCTAAATGTCAGGCCTACTTTGTACAGAGGTAGATGCTGGGGCCTCCCAAGCTGCTACTCATTTCCTCTCTCAGATGATGAAGCCCAAGTAACACATCCTGCTTGTTACATGGGGAGGATCGGCAAAGAAGTGCTGAGGTTTTGCCATGCTGCCTTTCTTCTCTGTGCTCCCATCTCTTTACTGATTCCCGGAAGTCTGTGGTCAGTAGAGCAAAGCTAAGTGGCTCCCATGACCTTGGCCTCATTAACACCAAAGTGTAAGTGCACTGAGCCAACCAGTCATAAGCTTAAAGCCTACCAAGCACTTCATAACGCAATAAAATCACCGAGAGGTGAGAAAGAGGCATTTTTTCTACTCAGAAAAGTATCTGAGTGATGGATTAATAAGGGTATCCTTTTGAAGATACCATTTTAAAAGCCCATTATTTAGTTTCTGATATGGATCATAATTTAGCTCAAAATGTGAAGATAATATTCCTAAATGAAGGGCTTATTACTTAGATGTCACTGGTCTGCATACAGATTGGTTTGGGACTTCTTAGAAAACATTTAAGAATAAGAATACAATATAATGGCTCCTATCTTATTGCTAGAATTTAAACATTCAGTGTTGAAGCTCTCAGATATGAATGACGGTAGTATTCCCAGATTATGCCAGCTCAACAAAAGGCATGTGCCATGGTGGTCCTACCTATTAAGGTCAACAGGCATCTACATTTCACTCCAGGACCACTGGCACCCAACACTAGTACTCACTGTTTCCAGGACAAATATAACATCCCCAAACCCAGCCTCACGGTATTAAATAATGGAATGTGAGAATTCACATCAACTTGCAATTTACTGGTGGCATTTAGTGTGAAAAAACTAAAAACTTTTAGATGAAAACAAACTGAGGAAAGGACATTAAAGCTTTTGGAAGGCATGAATTAACTTTGACTTAGAACACAAATCCAATTTTTGGCATGTACAAATGAGAATTATTCTAGATTTTCTCACTCTCTTTGATCTCTCTCTCTTTTTTTCTTTCTTTCTTCCTTCCTTCCTTCCTTCCTTCCTCATCCTGCTGCTCCCACTTTTTAATTTTTTGGGGGAGTGATGCCTAAGAGGTTCATCAGTTAATGAAATAATGAAAAGAAGAAGCAATTCTATAAGGGTTACCACTTATAGTTTTGAAATGCCAACCTACAATATTATTTTAGAAAAAAAGATATTAGAAATAATGGCAGCAATGACTGATCTGGATCTTTTGATTTATTTCCAATTATCTGTATTAAGATTAAAATGAATTTACTTATAAAATATATATTTACACTCTAGACTTTTATAGATCAAGGAAGAAGTAAAATTTAGAGGATATTGTAAAGCATACACCATAGGATTTTCAAAAGTTTGTGGGGAAAATGGAATTAAAGTACTAGTTTATTTTGGTGAAAAAATTAAAACACATGCATAGCTTTTTTTTCATAATATGCATTTTCCACAAACTTTTTGAAGCCTCCTTGTGTGTGTGGCGGGGTGGGGTCAGGGTGTATTTTCCATCTGTCTTCACATTCTAATGGCTAGTAATATGATGATGCCAACTTTTTAAATTGGAGTCCTCTTTGAAGCAGAGACTGAAAATCATTGAAATGTTTGAAAATACTATTTGTATTATTATAGTACTAAATGTTAATAGGTAAAAATCAGTAGCCTGGACCTCATAAGGGGCAGATTCACAGTTGGCATCACATTTATGAGAGAAGAAAACAATGTTAGATATTCTTACTGTCAGAGATGATGAAGTAATTTGGGTGATTGCCAGATTGACTACATTTGCTGTTTGGAAACATAGCTGAAGTGGGTGCCCAAAGATATAATTTGAGAGCTCCATGGAAACCAGACTGAAACAAATCGCCTTTTCTTTTCTTTTTCTCTTTAAATTATCCAGAGGGTTTGTATGCTTGCTGGAGAGAGAGAAAGAGGAAGGGAAGAGGAAGAAAGGGAGAGAAAATGAGAAAGCATCCCCCAGAGGGGATGGCCATGCCACAATCCCTTCTCTATTTCTCCTCTCAGGATTTCCGGCACACAGGTGCACACACACACACACACACACACACACATGCCCAGCCTGTTTTTCAAACCACCAGCTCTGGGACTCAAACAATGCAGTCAGACATGTGGAATCCATCCACCTAGACCACCATGCCGCTGGCTGGCCATCAAATTTCCTTCTATAACTAATCTTATTCTCCCAGCACTACTAAAAATAGTGTAGTTTAGACAACAAAAATAGAAGCCTTTCCTCTAAAACATCAATAGTTTAAGACACATGTATTTACCTGAGATATGAAGGACTTTGTCAACAAGTAGTGATATCCCTCTCCAAACTTTCTATTATCTTTTTAGAAATCAAAGAGAGGAAGAAGAAGGAGAGGGGTCTGTGTATGTGTTTATACTTTTGGGGGACACTGTACATGAGATATAGGAAAGCACATTTCCTTGGAGAATGGGGAAAATGATTTGCGATGGTCTTCCTCTGTTGTCTTTTCCTTAATTTATAGAGTAATTATAGTGAAAAAGAAAATCTAGAGGATCTAATATACCCCCATGGTCTAAAAATTCATTGAGATTCCATTGCTTATAAACATGAGAATTAATTCAGGAAGAAGCCTGAGATGTGAGTCCCAAGATGTATCTTCTACATCCACTACAGTCGTGTATGTATATCCTAATAGATTCTCTTTGGTCATCAAAGCCTTGTCTTTGAAATATGCCCCACACAAAGGTGAACAGGTTCTGATACTATGGAGAGTGACCTGATCAAAGCATGAAGTTCAAGAGAGGATCATGGTTATATGACAATGTGCATCCTAGGGAAGAAGGGTGACCAAAATGAAAACAATATTCAAATCTTTCACCAAAAGAGAATATAAACACATGGTTCAGCTGAAACATGATTCTGTACCTTCTCAATATGAGGTTAACCAGCTCAAAGCAATGTCAAAGCCTTCACTGCTTTCATAAGAACAATAAGTTTTACACCTTTTCTAAGCATAAATTGATTTGGCATTCATCTTAAAACCTTCCAGAGTTCGGCAGTGAAGGGATTAAACCCATTATTGTATTGCTCTAGAATTCATTCCTGCAATCATTTATTCAGCAACTACATACAAAGCACATCCTCCACAAATACCTGAATGTCACAAAGTTTCAGATCCATATCTAAATCTACCTCATTAATTTCCTTCTTACTGAAAACTCTGTCAAGTGAAATAACTTAAGAATAAGCACAGCACAGATGAAGCTTCGACGCAACATGACATGACAGACTAGAAGACTAAAGCCTGCATCATGCAACCTGGAAGTGTGCAACGGGTCCTCTAACAAAGTGAGTATATGCCAAAGGGACAAGGCAGTATCTTACACTGCACAAGGAGATCAAGTTGGCCTAAAAAACTGTGATAGAAAGGCCACATAGATTACTCCTTCCTCCCAAAAGTTAGGTAGGCAGCTGTCTGTTGTTGTCTATGGAAGGAGTGTTTCTTTCCAGGTGCTGCACAGGGATGTGGATGTATCAATGTTGACCTAATGCAATACTCCAGTCCCTGACATCAGGATAACATAAACAAAGTCTATATCTTATATATACTGCATATTGTGTCACAGAAATATCCTATTTTAATGCAAATTAGTTGCCTAGAAAGCAAAGTAAAAGAAGACCTTTGCTATTTACATGTACAGTGAGCTTTGTTTTCTCCAAAGCTCTTCAAAAGTGATGTTGTGGAAGATTTACGATCAATAGATAAACATTGTTTCTATAAACAGAGCAAATGGAGGTATGGGTCTATGCACTTCAGGTTAAAGATACCAAGAAAACTTTTTAGGCTGCTTTCAGAGATGTTCATTGAGTAGCTGTTTGTATCCTAAACACTGATAAGAGAAAGATAATCTATTTTATACAGTTATACTGAAAACATCTCATATGAACTTACATT